ATTACTCACTAACATTTCCTTGTAGATTATCAGAAATTAAAGCCCCTGTGTAATGGAGTGAGGGATCTAGGATTTTTCCTTTGTACGTGTTGTGAAAAAAGGTATGTACGATCCTCCCCATGGGAGCATTTGTTCCGAAACTGTCATGCTGAGAAAAAATGTTTTGCCTTGCTCAAGAGGTGTGTATAGCAGGTGCCGCACAGTGGCTTGATCTGTCACTAATCTGACGTCACAATGCACTTAAGCCGGTATTTTCTTCGCATTAGGCAATTTGATATTGACTCATTCTTTACAGGTACTGAGCAGTATCCCCTAGAGTGAATGGATCCTGAAATTCAATTTCGCAGTTTATTAGTCGGGATATTGCGTGATCTATCGACAGATAATCAATGTAATTTACACTTTTTATTGGGACCAAATATCGCCCGACGTATCCGTGAGGATCCCTCGATTAACGGTACATTGAATTTATTCGAAACATTATTTGATCAACAAAAAATTTCCTGTCAAGATTTCACATATTTAATTAAGGCATTTGAATCTATTAAATGCTTGGAAGCTGCAGATCGTTTAAAAGGTAACACACATTTCCAAAGACTGTTGAAAAATGATTGATAAATTCGTTTGATTAGAACATCAACAAGCTGAACAATCGAGGCGAAGAGCCTTGTCAACAAATTCTACAAACACCGCTGCACTACCAACAATAACTGAACTAATTGCTGACAACTGTGTTACAGACAAATATCGAAGTTCGCGAACACTGAATCTCACGTTTATATATAATCGTTGTTCGGATATAAATTAAAGTTTTTTTTCTTTCGTTCTAGGTGTGGAACTAACCGACATCAGAAACCATCCGGACGAGCCAAAATTGCGAGTACGGTCACAGCTTTTGGATGGTAATAACGAAGAGATGCCAAGATTTACAGATAAACCTCCTTTATCTCACTCACCAAGTGTCAAAACTTCAACACCGTCGTCTATCCCACACCACAAAACAACAGAATGTATCGTAGCCAGACGGGGTTATATCTGTCTTTGTCTTACTGGAGTTTGTACGCTACTAATGTTAGCCTTGATTGCACTAACGTTCAAGTATAGGACCGTCAAATGTCGCAATCCACAAGGTGGGTAGTTAGTAATGCAAAATGTTTTTAAAATGAAGCCCCATGAACACGAATGCATTTGAGAGACATATGGATACCAGAATTTCGGTATTCTCAGTATGTGTCAGCTCAGACCTAAAGACCTAAATGTGAAATGATTCACGTTAAACACTTATTAATCAAATGTTCGATACATCGTCTTTGTAGTGGACAGTAACATAAAGTGGCGATACGACTGCATCATTGCACACATGCATTTTTGTTTTTATATTTGATGTAAAGCAGTGTACGCTAACTGGAAGAAATTTCACGAAACCTTCCGCAAAGCTTGTTTTCTCACACTTCTGGCATACATTTCGCTATCCTGGCTTTCTCGTCGTGAGTGCTGGTCGGAACTGCTTTATTAATGCATTACTAGTCCGGAAGGACTCTCTGGGCTAGTTAATCGGGAATCATTTTTGCAATTTGTTTTAGAAATTTATTGCCGTCCGTTTCCGGGTAAAAAGTATTTAATCAAGTCAAAGACTACAAACGAATTTATAACTGCACCCCCTAAACTGGATAATGGAGCCAGTATTCTTCAATCAAATATGATCGGAAACCAAGAGCAACGGCATCAATGGTATTTCACCTTAATAGATCAACAGAATAACATCTATAGTATACAGTCAGTGTATAATCAAAAAGCAATAGATTTAACAGATGGATCATCGAGTAATACTATTAAATTTCAACAATGGGATCGATTCAATGAAAATAACAACCAACATTTTAAATTAATACACAGCGGTGAAGGTCACTATTGTCTAATCGAGAGTCTACCAAGCGGAAAAGCCTTAGATAGTAAACTTATGAAGAATGCCGTAAGTCAATCAGAAATTAGTCCGAAAAATTTGAACAATCAGTTGTGGCAATTCATAGAAGTAATTAACAGTAAGTACTTAGAAAAAATGTTACTTTGGTTTTATGTTCGTTCGTTTGTTTCTTGTAGCTACGTTATATGAAAACATTTGGGGGAATTCAAATTCTAATGGTAAATTCATTAGCAGCGTTGATCTTTCAGATTCATTCAGTCTCTTTACTGCAAGTCTAGCTTATGCGTGTCTGTAGGTATGCTTCGCCAACACATGAGAGTTTTCGCCTACACTTTTCCAAATTCGTAACCGTTTTCGTAAGTGCGTGTAAAAATGACCCATAATTTACAATAAATAACACAGAAGTGGTGCGTAATTTTTACGCGTACTTACGACGGCGCTTAGGAATTCCGAAAAGCGTTAATAACATTAAGTGAAAACTCATGCAAACAGCCAGTGCTGTTACCGATGCGTCTGTCGTGCACACTACACCAGCACATTTCCAAATATGTTCATTAAATCTCGCTCTCAGCTACACACCACCTTGCATATCGAGCCGTGTTTTTATTAGGAGGAGTGCTACAATGTATCTACAATGTAATTCTGCATGACTGTACACCTACTGTAGAGTGAATATATCTATCTGCTGTATTTTTCGAAAATCATCTTCATCTGTTTAGGTGATTTTTCTTTAATAAAGCTTAGTAAAGTTGTTGGAGGCGATGGTGGCGAACCGTTTGACGATTCGAAAACCCCCGGATTTACGTACTATCATTATTGTAGTTCGGTTCATATCTGGTGGACTGACTGGATAAATTCGACACAGTTTACTTATTCGTCTTCTACTCAAATCATTGAAGCAGATCGTCGAGGAAACGTAGGCGACATGTATCATATTTTTAACGTATCAGAAAGGAATAAAGACGAACGAATCAATAGAATTGATATTTATAGTGGTGAACGATATATTTCAAATGGACATAAACCAAATACTCCAACCAAAATCATTGTTGGTATACAGTTTTATACAACACATAATAATTCAAGTCCCTTTTACGGAAGTAAACGAACTGATGATGCACACGATATATTGACATATGATGGTTATATTCTAGGATACGTAAGAGGCAAATCTTGTAAGGTTTGTTTTATTGATCAATTGCAGTTTATTTGGCATAAAATTTGACTTTCGTTTGTGTTACTAGACTTCTTCTGAAAATAATCTACCTTCAACTCTCGTTCGCTTTTTTACTTTCATCAATTTCATATGCTAGCACTAGTTTTGTATTGTGCAAAGCCGATGGTTTCCATATATTTTGATTTCTATCAGCGGAATTACTCATGGTCGATTATCTGGCACGCGAGGAAATGTTGGTGAGTAAA